TTTTCTTCTTACATATTTTTCAATTACATTTTTACTTCACATACATTAAATTGCTATAGTACATTTTTCTATAAAACTCCTGAAAATAACAATCTAAATAGGCAAATTTTAACTAAAATTAGCCAAATTTGTTGGGACATAAATGTCAATTTAAAAACCTTTATCCTTGCTTTTATTCTTCTTTCAAGTTTAACACGAGAAACCCTATACTTCCCAACCTACCTCCAACTCTAGCTGCACCTCTGCTTCCAATTTCCACCTTCAATTTATTGCACATATTCCAAATATTCTAGAAAGCCACAAAACCATGGTCAAGCCATAGACAATCCTTTAATCACCTCGCATTCAAACCCCTCTATAATTCCAATAAAATTCCAACTAAAAGAATTAATCTCAAGAAAAACAACAACGATGGTACTAACGTTGAAGAACAATAAACATTTGCAGCCAATATAAAAAATGATCACAAAAGGGTGTCCTATGAATAAACATCAGTTATATTTTTGGGCAGATTGATGAAGAATAGAACTAGGAGAAGGGATCTTTCCTTATAAGTTGAGTGAAGAAGAATCAGTGGATTAGAAAAGTCCAAAAGGAAGAAGATAAGGAAGCAAGAAAAAGAAAAGGAAAAGAGAAAGCAAAAGGAGAAAAAAAAAAGGAACGAAGAAGAAGATGCAGCAAAGAGTCAGATTAAGAGACTTTTTTTTGTCTCATTAGAAGATGCAGCAAAAGAGTCAGATTAAGAGACTTTCTTTTGTCTCATTTGGATACGGTAGTATTTGAAATATTTACTATAATATTTTTTGTGATATGATGTATGTGAGATAAAAAGATGATTAAAAATATAAAAAAATGAGTTGAAAAGTGTTGATGTAAACGAAATATTATTTGAAAAATTTGCTATCCAAACATTCTTGCTTACACTTGAAAGTTTAATGGCTTGTGTCAATTATTTTGCTAATTTCTTGTACGTAGTCAAGAATTGTCTTTAAGTGGGATGGAATATATTGTTTAAAGAGTAAAGTGTCCTATTTTGAGGTTTAAGGATGCAAGTGAGAGTTAGTGTAAAGTTAAAGAGTACAAAATGGAATTAATCCAAAATATTTAATAATCTAAAAGCAAGATATTTGTTGGGTAATGCTATTCATACTCTACATTCAACTTTTTGCGCACACTTAATGAGCAACACGGGGTAGTATGCTGATGTTGGTGCAATTGATGTACTTGTTATCGAGTATACTTTACAATTATACTATATTGTGTTCTAAGTGAATATGCAATATTGTATTTATAAAATTAATCTTTTTTACATTGATAGTATACGAATTAATAATAGTGCATGCATGTTAAATGCGCAAAATTTTAAATTTAAATTCAAATTGAAATTAATTGTTATGCATTTAAACTAGTTAAAAAACTTTTACTTCAAGGTTACAGTATTGTTTTCTCGTACATCATACAACCTAATACTCTCTCCATCCTGAACTTTTTGTAACACTATGAATTTGTGTTTTTTTGCCCTCAATAGTAGTGTGCTAAGTACTTGTTTTTAAAACTAAGAGATGAGTTAAACTATTCGGTACTTGAATCGGCCTAAGCACTTCATAAAAGTTCATTCGAGTTTGGTTAGCCAACTAATCAAACTAAACTTGAGTAACAATTTATTTTTAAGAAACTTTCAAGTTAGACTCAAGATTGACTTGAAGTGAAATGTACATGTGAAAAATTTAAACAACTTAAACTCGATTTGATCTGATAAAAATTCAATTGAATTTGACTCGAAAAGTAAACAAGTCAAGTTTAAAGGAAAAAATTTTCAATCTCCTCAAAATGAAAAAACAATCCTGAACGCAGGATATTCAATTTGATTAAGTTGGTTTATAATCCCTATGTTTTCAGAATCGGACCGGATAGCGACTCGGTTGAGGTCAGGGGTCAATGGGTTTGACCGGGGGTCGATAGGGGTCGAACCGGATGACGTCATAAATAAAAATTATTTAAAAATTAAAATATTATATATATAATATCTAATAATATATTGATATTAATAAAGGTATATTCATATATATTTGATGTCTCAAATATATTTAACAAGAAAATACAAAGAAATTAGAACAATCAAGTAGCAATTTATATTATTTAATAAATATTAACAAGTTTAGAATTAAAATTATGAATTTAATTGAAAAATAGCATCAAATTTTAGGACAATATTTATAAAGTATCAAATATTTGAGGTATATCAATAAGTTTTAACAATTTAGGGGGTCAAAACATAATATTAAAAAGTTTAAATTTTTTTAAAAAAAATTACTGTTGAACCGAAAAAACCGATTTTTTCCGGTCAAACTCGGTTTTTGACTGACTTTGACCGGATTTTAAATTTTCGATTTTTTAATATGACTCGGACCGGCTACCTGGCCGGTTCTCGGTTCGACCGGTTCGACTGGCCGGTCCGGTCCAAGTTTTAAAACAGAGTATAATCCAACTTTTCCACTTTAGTTTCCTTTCTATCCCTGTAGCTTCATTGGTGGAAACAAGAAAAGACACATGTGGGGTCACGTCTTGCGGTAAATCCTTCAAGTGTTCTGCAGCATCTAGTGTACGGACGCTCATAGTGCAAACCTTTGGTGACCGTTGTGTCTACCTTTTTCAAAATTCTTTGAAACGTGACACTGCCGGTCCCACAACTAAGACTTTAAGGTTTTCAACTTGCCGAAGGGTGAAGGTCAAAGGTAGAGACGATCATCCATTAAAGTCTGATTTCAACAACTGTAAGAAACACACACCCGGATCTAAGGTAACTCCACCAGTTTATCCATTAAAGTCTGATGGAATTAAACTAAGCTATCATATTGATTTTTTTATTATTTTAATTTCTCGTTTTGGTGTCCTATTTATTTATAGTTTCTATATTAGTTTAGAAAATTTCAACTTAAGTTGTAGTTAGTTTCAATTAACAATTGCAGTTGTTTAGAAAGTTTAGAAATCTATAAGTACTACTAGTATGGTAGACTTAAGTACTACTAGATTATAAGTACTACTAGATTATGACTTAAAAAGCTGAGTTGAGTCTTGAAGAGTTCGTTGAGTTGAATTGTGAAATACAGAGAAAGTCTCTAAATTGATATTTGCAAATTGTCGTAAATGAAATGTTATGACTCGATATTGTTATTATTGAATTTTGAGTTAATAAAATCATTGACTATTTATCGCGTATTTATTCACCTCCTTTTCTTACATATTTTTATACATGTTAAAATTACTTTTGCTAAGCATGATTTTGTTGTGCCAACAAGTGGTATAAGAGCTCTAAGTTTTAATCTCAGTGCTTGTTCGTAAAATTAAAAGATGGATCCATATTATTTCTATCTTTGATGGTAAAAGCAATTTTGATGTTTGGAATTGGATGGTGAAGACGTTTTTTCAAACTGTTGGACTTTGGGAATTGGGATATTATTCAAAAGGCGTTCATGAAAATTGTAGAATGCATGAAATTATCAAGCAACGCAATAAAAAAGTTAGAGATGTACAAACACATAGATTGTAAGGCATTCCACTATTGCAGTAGCCAAATCTAGTTGTATATAGCTAAAAAAATTATACATGCAAAGATGACTAAGAAGGTTTGAAATTTTTGATAAACTCTTATTGTGGTCATGGTGGAAAAAAATGTCTGACAAGTACGAGAAAACAGAATTTTTTGATGAGACAAATGAAAAAAATTGCAGAAGTTGTGGGTGTACATAAAGATGAAGAATTTGTTCAAAAGGAAATTTTAGAAGTGATTGAGAAAGAAAGCAACATCATTGATGAAATTAAATATGCTCTCAAAGATCATGGCATTGTAGAAATTCTTAATTCTATGGGAGTTGATAAATTATTTGAAAAAGAAAATCAAACAGTTGAATTGATTGATATCAATTGTAGGGTGGGCAAATTAAAATTGTAAATTGCTAAAAGTGATGGGATTCTTCGTGTTGACAAGTTAGGGCTTGCTGAAAATATTAGTGGTGACAACTATGATTTTGTGAATTTGAAAAATTTTGTTGGTGACATAGATGAATTAAATTTTGAAGTGTTCAATCAAGAATGGGTCATCATATTTGATGTCGTTGACAAAATGATCATGTCAAGAAATTATTCCAAAAGTATGAGTTTTCCAAAAGTGATCATGACAAAAGGATCAGTTTTAAGTTGGTGTTTCACGCCATTTATACAGCGATAGAGTTGTTCTTGGAGATTCAAGTTCGTGATAGTATTGGAAATAATCACAATGAAGAGCTTAATTTAAGGGAGAAAATAATGGAATTAAACTAAGGCATCCAATTTGTTTATGTCCTTATTGTTTTAATTTCTTGTTTTGATGTCCTGTTTATTTAGTTTGCATATTAGTATAGGAAATTTCAAATCAATTCTATATAAGTTTTGGTTTACAATTGTATTTGTTTAGAAAGTTCAGCAATTTATAAATAATGCTAGTATAGTAGATTATTACTTGAAGAGTTGATTTGAATTTTGAAGAGTTCTTGAATTGCGAGATAGAAGAAAAGTTTCTAAACTAATATTTGTGAGTTGTTATAAGGGAAAGGTTACAACTTAACATTGTTATTATTGAATTTTGAATTAATAAAATTATTGAGTATTTGTTGTGTGCTTATTTTCCTTCCTTTTTCACATATTTTTCTATATGTTAAAATTACTTTTCAGCGTACGTAATTTTTCGTACCAACAAAGTCAACTAACAAGAAATTTGGACAGATCAAAATAAAAAGCACAATAATTTCAATAAGATGAAAGGAGTGTATAGAGCCACCATATAATTTAAAAGAATGTGTAACGTGGCTACGATACCTGCTTGTCATTTGCATTAGTTAAAAAAGCAGTCAAAGTGTGTGTGAGAAATTAGAAAGGAGCGTGGAGAAATCGCAACGCTAGACAGTATGATATAAGCTACTAAATTAAGAAGAGTTTGGCAATTGGCATCCAACTCTTTAGTCATGACATTGAAACTAGGAACAGCAGTCTTAGCCTATTTTCTACTTCCCATCGCAGCTGGTGCAGCAGCTTCTGATGATGTTGGGTTCATCTTTCAAGGATTTCAACAATCAAATCTAAGCCTGGATGGATTAGCCACGGTAACCAACAATAGCCTTCTACGAATAACCAACACCACCATATCACAAACTGGGCATGCCTTCTATCCTAATCCCATCAAATTCAAGAGCACATCTAATAGTTCAGCTTTCTCCTTTTCCACCCAATTTGTGTTTGCTATAGTACCCGATCTCTCAGGCTTAACTGGTACCGGAATGGCTTTCGTGATTGCACCAACAAGAACCCTTACAAAAGTGCCTGACTCGCAGTTTCTCGGCCTCTTCAATAGCAGCACCAATGGAAATCAAACAAATCACGTTTTTGCTGTGGGGCTTGACACTTACCAAAACCAAGATTTTGGAGATATCAATGACAATCATGTCGGTATTGATATTAACTCTGTGATCTCCAAGGTATCCATGCCAGCGAGTTACAAAGCTAATAACAAGAATTCATTAGACAACTTAACTCTTATCAGCGGTCAACAGATGCAACTTTGGGTGGAATACGATGGGATGGACAGGAGAATCGATGTTACATTAGCTCCAATAGCTGCTGCCAAACCACATACTCCTCTTTTGTCTTTGACATATGATCTTTCGCCAATTTTAAAGCAAACCATGTATGTTGGCTTTTCTGCAGCCTATAGTCCACTCAAAATAGGAACATCTCATTTTATACTTGGATGGAGCTTCAAGATGAATGGTGTTGCACAAGCTATTGATCTCTCCCAGCTCCCCAAGCTACCTCGGTTTGGACATAAGAAAGTGTCTAAATTTTTCACCGTGGGATTGCCCCTGATTTGCATAACTTTTTCATTAATACTAATATCTGGAGTAGCTTATTATCTAAGGAGAAAGTGGAAGTTTGCAGAAGTGAAAGAAGAATGGGAGCTAGCTTACGGACCTCACAGGTTCAAGTATAAAGATTTATACATTGCCACCAAGGGGTTCAGAGAACAAGAGCTGTTGGGAGAAGGCGGATTTGGCAGGGTCTACAAAGGCGTCTTGCTAACAAACAGGGTTGAAGTTGCTGTCAAGAAGGTCTCTCATCATGCAAGGCAGGGAATGAGAGGATTTATCTCAGAAATCATCAGTATAGGATGCTTGCACCATAGAAATTTAGTACCGCTCTTGGGTTATTGCCGGCGTAAAGGAGAGTTACTTTTGGTATATGAATTCACGTCCAATGGTAGTCTAGACAGATTTCTGTTCAACCAACCAAAGCGTTCTCTCAACTGCAACCAAAGATTTCGAGTCATCAAAGGTGTGGCGTCAGCATTACTCGATCTACACGAAGAATGGGAGCAAGTAGTGATCCACCGAGATGTCAAAGCCAGTAATGTATTGTTAGATGGTGAACTGAATGGAAGATTAGGAGATTTCGGTCTGGCAAGGCTATACGATCATGGAACTCTACCTCAAACCACCCATGTAGCGGGATCTTTTGGGTACCTTGCCCCTGAGTATAGTAGGACAGGGAGGGCCACAACGAAGACTGATGTATATGCTTTTGGTGCCTTTTTGCTAGAGGTTGCATGTGGAAGAAGGCCAATAGATCCCCGAGCAGTACCAGAAGAGAGTATCATTTTGGTTGATTGGGTATTTTTGTGCTGGAAAGAAGGGGATATTCTCGAAGCGGTTGATCAAAAGCTGGGTGCTGAGTATGTGAAAGAGGAAGCAGAATTGGTGTTGAAACTAGGCTGCTTGTGCTCTCATTCAGAACCAAATCTTAGGCCAAGTATGAGGCAAGTTCTATTGTACTTGGAGGGATCAGTTGCCCTGCCTGATTTATCATCACTGGCCATGAAGGGTTCTGCTGTTGGTTTTGACGTTTCCATAGACAAATGTTTTTCGGAAAAGTCTGGAGTAATGATAGTTATGATAACGAAACTATTTTTACCTAATATACTAGATAAAAACACTTTTAGCGACTATTTGATTACCTGTTGGACCGGTCATCTAAACAAGATAATGCCTAAAAATTTGGGTAGTAAGTTTCGCATTAAAAATAGTAAGTTATCCCCATAAATTAGTAACTTTTATGTCTCAAAAAGTGAATCAAAATAAAAATGAAAGTTACTTTTTTTAAAAAATAAATTACTACTCTATATTCGAAACTTACTTTTTGGAGAGTAAGTTTAGTTCAAGTAATAGTAAGTTTTTATAGATTAATAGTAAATCTTGTTGATAGAATAGTAAATTTGGTTAATCGACAAAACTTACTAGTTTGTGGCATAAATTTACTCTTTTATTTAAAGAAACTTATATGAAACAAGTATTAGGAAGTTTATTTAAAATAATGCTAAGATTTTTTTATTAATGATTGAAACTTAATATTATAGTTAGTAATTGTTGGTAACGTAAATGTATAATATATGATTGTAGGTATCATTCATAAATGTTATGTGTTTAGGCATTTTAATAAATGTATGTATCATTTATAAATGTTATGTGTTTTAATAAATTTATTTTCTAGGTCACAAGTATAAAAGTTAAAGTTGTACTAATGTGGCATAATCTTTGAAAATTATAGTAAATTTACCCATATATTAAGTTTCGTGAGTTTCAAATATATTTTGTATCATTTACAATATGGGTTTATATGCACATTTTTTATCAAAATTACTTTTAATCGGCAAATAGTATGTAAATTATTATAAAATGTCATTTTATAATAATCATAATTTTTATAGGTGAATGGTATATAAACTGCTAAAATTGTCAATTTATAAATGATCAAATCTTACTACTTTATGGCATATATTAGTCTGATCAACTAAAAAATTACCGTAATTAAGTGTACGTTGGTTGTTGATTTGAAATTTGCACCCCTATCACTATTCATTATTACTACCACAAGTTTTTCTAATTTCAGATTGTCGGGTTGACGGGACGACCCGAATGACCTGAAACTTAATTTCAATTTACTAATTTACTACTGTAATTTCTAATAAAATCAATTTCGCACAAGACTAATTACATAATCATGTAATAAAAATTTAAATAAATAATCCCAAACCAAATCTAAAATAAATTAAAACACTATAAAAGTGTTTTATCCTAAACCAAATATAAAATAAATTAAAACAGTATAAAAGTAAAAAATAATATAATACATTATTTGTCCAAATATAATAATTTCAACTTCACACAAGTTAAATAAATTCATTTAGGATTAAGTGATTAATGCCTTTGGAAAAAAAGAATAACTTAGTTTAGATAGATAAAATAATTTTAATTCGTAAATAGGTTATCGGGTCGTATCGGGGTATCGGGTCACCCGCGGATTGACCCGAATTCGACCTGTTTTCTTTTCGGGTTCATCGGACTCGACCCGATTTTGATCCGAACCTGCGAAACCTCAATCCGAACCCATTAATTTCGTGTTACGTTCGTGTCGTGTTTTCAGGTCGTGTCGGAAATTGCCACCCATAAATATAATCAAAAGAAATTTGCACTATTAAAAAGCAAATGGGAAGAAAGGATGATGGCATAAGTATAAATAACTATATACATATCACACCATGAGTTTAGGTTTGATTTGTTCAAAACATCGGTAATTTATTCGTTAGTAGATATAAAATGCATATTATTTTTCTACAAATGGAAAATACAATTTCATAAATACTAATGAGGTTATCATTTTTTTTATACAATTGGAGTTTATCATAAATACAATTGGAGTTTATCATTTTTTTTATTATTCAGTATTTTTTTTCCATGTTGTAACTGTACGTCTCTTTTTGAGCTTTTTGTTTGAATTCATCCTTGTTCATAAGAAAAATAATTAGCTTCAATTATGCACTTGTTAATGAGGTTAAATCTGAAGGAGAACCGTGCATGAGCCTTTTGAATTAACTTTGCTTCTCTTAGTTCCTGAAGTTGAAGTCCCCTGAAAATGTCACCCAATGTAGACCAATGCCTGATGTAACGTGCTTTATAGACTAACCACTAAAGTTATTATTAATAGGATTAAGCCTCTGCTCTCTTCCACTATTGGACCTGTCCAAAGTAGCTTTCTTCCTGAAAGAAAAACCAACGATAGCATTGCGTTACTCGGGAACTTTTGCATAGGAGTATTAGAAAATGAACATATGAAGATTAATTTACAAAAGGCTTATGATAAGTTTAACTTCAATTGGTTTTGGCTTAAGCACCATTCGTTTGATCCAATTTGGTTTTCCTTCTACCTTTTGCTGATGTTGTTATGAAATGTATCACATCCACTTTATTAGCTGCACTTTAAATGGGGAAGTAAATAAATACTTGAACCTAAAAGGGGATATAGACAAGGGTGACTCTCTCTCTGCCTTTATTTTTTTTGGGTAAATAATTCTGATTTTAGGACTTGGAGAGGGATTGTTAACAGCTTTAATAAAGTGAAACTTGGTTCTGAGTGGAATGTCGATAAATGTCATAGAATTCATGTCTGACGATAGAAGATGGCTTTTGGATACAATTGGGGCATCCCCTTTTGAATGTGTAAAGAGGCTGAGGATAAATTTGATTGCGCGCATTCTGCTGATGTTGCACGACAAAAGGGCTCTGATATCACTATCAAAAGCTTCAGTTTGAATTGAAATTTCTGTTTTACAAACCCAAGAGCACTTGGATGCTAACAATATCTGAAGTGAGTAAAATGATGGAAAATGGAAGTATCAGAATTTGATCAAGGAATTTATTTCATTTTAAGTTTTTCTCTGCATCTTGATATCGTTTCCGTGCAATACATCAAAATGCCTTTTAATCATAAACAGCAAGGGCTCATAATTGTGTTATTTAGTAAGTAAGCATAACAGTTTTGAAAAGAAAATAACATACTTCAACAATTATGAGCAGAACTCCCATCAACAATGTTGATTTGAGCTTACCTCTGACATGATTGACTTTCCTAGCATATGTTTTCTAATGGTGATGTGGTTCTTGAAAAATCTGATATGTTATAAACCTTAAAGATCTTCAAGTACATAGGATTACTGGATCTTAAACCTTTTGTACAAGGTTTAACTTCTCGAGACTGCCACAAACAAGGGTTAACTTCCAATTGAAACTTAGAAAAATTGAATGTTCTGAAATGCCATTTCTTGAAATTAAACGCCATCATTCACCAACCTTTTTTCCAAGAAAGCTGAAATTATTCACATTAAAACAAGTAAACACCAGAAATTGCAAAGTAAGGAGATTATGTTCAGATTTACAATCAAAACGCATTAAACTACCTTCGAAGAAACTTAAATCATCCTAAAATTTTTTAGCAAAGACGAACAAAAAAATTTGTACCCTCTCAAGAATAAAATTCCTTAATGGTCTTGGCTGAAATCTGGTTCATTCACTACAAAACCATCACAAGATTTGTATTAAAAAAAGGCCACAACAACACATAATCATAGCAAATAAGTGACATAAAACTTAGGCGTGAAGAAGGAAAAATGTACCTGAATATTTTCGTCTCCTAACAAGCAAGTGTTTCGTACATGACTTTGGATTAATGAAGGATTGCATGCCCACATTAATGCCTATACAAATGCAAATACAGCACAATTATATTTCATGTCTTCACACAAAAATAAAAGCAAGCTATACATTACCTAACCAGGAGGAATGATCTGAAACCAATTACTATCCATTAACTCCTTATTGCATCCATGCGGTGAATCTGATTGCAATAGGCCATAGGATGATCCTATCATGTTCGAATTTACATTCTCAATTGAAATACATTGTTTGGCTGGTTTTTCAAACCAGGGAAATTTCAAAGTTCACAAATATAGTTCAAGATTGTTTTTTGTCATTGATCAGTGATATGTAGGTACAATTAGATTCAGGTAGGCTCCGACCAATTCTTGATTCATCAGGTGCCCAAAGCAAGGGTGATTTTACTGCTACTTTTAAAGAAACAATAATGCTTTCCAGTGTTAGAATATATATCACATAGAATCCTTTTGTATTAAATCTTATCGATCTCAACGATGTATTTTGAGCAAATAGACGTATCAAAGCTAATTCTTTGCATGGCGGTGGGAATTGCTAGAATCAAATTCATGTATTCAAACATTAAAAAAAACAAAGGATTCTAATAGTACCACGAACACAACGATAACTTTGAGACCAACGTACTAAAATCTTTACTTTGCATTGCTTAGAATCTTTAAAAATTTGCATCATAAGTGTCAATCCGGTGTTGGAAGTATCTAAAACATAGGAATGAGGAGATATAATAAAAATTAATTTAAAAAATTGATAACTGAAATGTGTCAACTGTGGTTTTAATCAAGTTGTTTGGTGCTTTCTAACCCCGCACAGGCATCAATCATATCATGCAAATTTCTTTTTGACATTTCACCAAACACCTTATATGCATTCCTAAATTAACCACTTTTCACATAAATGCTGACATACTATTATGTTTCACATACAGGGTCTAAGTCATTTCCCACATATTTTTCAACAAAATATTGACAATCAAATCAAATGAAAGATAAATAAATTAAAGCAATATAATCAGGCGATTTTCAAGAAACATGATGGTCTAATCTCTTGGCTGCTATTTTTCATCTACTCTCTTGCAGGATACCACCACCGCAGCCCTAATAAAATCTCAACCAATTTGTTGGGTCTGCATATGCTAGCATCCAAAATCGATCAATCACCTAGGAGAGAGGGAAATTGTGGACTAAACAGGAAAATTTTGCCAGAAGATGTATAAAACTTAAATAAGAAGGAACAGAAGATACACAAAATACGAAGGGTACAATTTTCAATTCACCAGCAAAATCCTCTCCTTCATTGTCATCTAAAACTACGATAAAAATAAAACAAAAACAAAAAAGAACAATGAATATGGAGAAGAACACTCAATTTTTCAGTGGAATAACAAAAAAACAAATCATTTTGTTTGCAACTATACCTTGCTGGAAGGGCCTTTAAATGGCATCCAGTGGGAGTCAGAATCTTCGTTCTTGAATCCGTTTGGCAATTCTCGATCAGAATTGTCGTAATGTTGCCAGGAAAAAATTTCTATTCCATCATATCGTGAGGTGAGAAGAAAATAAAAAGAAGGAAAGAAAAAAAAAAAAAGGCAAGCAACTTTAGAGAGATGTGATAACCCAAGACCGTTTTCAGAAACCGGTGATTTTTTTACTTAAATATGTAAATTTTTTACTTTTAGTATTAGTAAGTTAATTTAAAGAAAAGTAAATTTTGTCAAATAATAAGTAAATTAAATTACTCAAAGTGTAAATTTCTATTTCTGAGTAAAACTTATCTTTCAGGCATATACTTACTAGTTTTAATTAAAAACTTACTAAAGTTAATATTAATTATTTTAATATAATATTTATAAAGTCGCTAAAAGATTTGATCTGTCACTAAAGGTAATAGAAACCTATAATAGTAGGTTTTCCTAATATCGTTACCATAACTATAGGCACTGTAGCATTGTCCATGTTTTTCACATTCTGTAGCAGACTATCTTCTCTCTGATGGTCGGTAATTAAGATGCTTATCTTTCTGATTTATTAATTTTTCACCTTCAAGCTTTTCACGTAAGGTAGTACTATCTCTGAGATACATTCTGCTAAAAATTTTTTTTGAGGTATCCTTGACAAATAAGTTTCATCGAAACATTTTTTTTATACAGAAAAAATTTGATTTGGAATAAATTTCAATTGTAATGACCTTTAGAAACAAAACAAGTACGAAAAGTAATTTCATGTTGTAAACCTTAGAAATTAAACAATAACATGAAACAAAATTTCCTTAAGGATAAGCAAACTATTTTTTTACTTTTCATTCTATAACAAATAAAAAAATCAAGCTCCAAACCTCTTTACGCATCTCTTTACATTCACAAAATTTTTACTTGACAAACATTAAAAATTGTGTTTCAATCTAATTTCATAACAACTATTTGTAAATCCATTCCTATGTACTTGTCCATCATTTAACAAATAATTTATCATTACAAACATTTTGAACCACTGTTCATGAGAATATTAATTCTTTAAGCATAAAATTCTTTAAATCACAATAAAAACTCGATCTTACCAAATTATTTCTGCTAATATGTGCATAACATCTATAGCATAACCATAACCTTCTTTTGGTCTTCCGAAATGTTTCTATAATTCAATTCATGCACCATAGCTGCACACATAACTTTCTTTACCAGAATGTTTTCTTTAGAAAATATAGCTAGCTAAGAAAAAAATGAACCACATTAGCAAACTACTAATTGTTGATTTATTTTTGTCTTTTATGGGTTATAAAATGGTATTTACAATTTTGTCTTTTTGTATCTCCTGAAAATTTGTACGTACACAACAATGCTGCAAATCAATAAATATTAAGTTAAACTTAACCTTAAGCAAGATACCAGACAACATTCAAAGCACGTTCTCTTATACTAGGTGCATGCATTAATAATGCCATCGTGGTTCTAATTTTCTTTGGCACCTCGTAACGCTAACGTCATGTGTTTAAACAGTAGTCATCCTATTTCACAATTAAATTGATCATTAATGTGTTAGTTGATGCTGAATAAAAGTATAAACAAGCTATTCAAATGATGTACGGCGAAAGAAAACCATCAATTGATGTCGTGGGAACCACCAACTATCAATTGTATCAGTTTGTATTCAAAGTAATGAAATACAATAACAAGTCGCCTAATGACTCGTCATTGTAGCACGATCCAGCCATGTCAATGAAACTAGTAACAGCAATCTTAGCCTATTTTCTAGTTCGCATCGTAGTCGGTGCAGCAGCTTCTGATGATGTTGGGTTCATCTATCAGGGATTTCAGTCATCAAATCTAAGCCTGGATGGATTAGCCAATGTCACCGATAATGGCCTCCTACGGATAACCATCAACACCAAATCACAAAGTGGGCATGCCTTCTATCCTAATCCCATCAACTTCAAGAGCACATCTAATAGTTCAGCTTTCTCCTTTTCCACCCAATTTGTGTTTGCTATAGTACCCGATGTCCCTGGACTGATTGTTTCCGGATTGGCATTCGTGATTGCACCAACAAGAAACCATAAAGGAGGGCCTATGTCACGGTTCAATATTATGGAAACTCTCGGCCTCTTTGATAGACCCACCAACGGAAGTCAGAATAATCACGTTTTTGCTGTGGAGCTTGACACTTTCCAAAACCAAGATTATGGTGATATCAATGCCAACCATGTTGGTATCGATATTAACTCTGTGAGGTCCAAGGTATCAAGGCCAGCAAGTTACCAAGCTAATAACAAGATTTCATTTGACAACTTAACTCTTAGCAGCGGTCAACCGATGCAACTTTGGGTGGAATACGATGGGATTGATGGGAGAATCGATGTTACGTTAGCCCCAATAGCGGCCGCCAAACCACATACTCCTCTTTTGTCTTTGACATATGACCTTTCGCCGATTTTAGTGCAAAACATGTATGTTGGCTTTTCTGCTGCCACTAGCCCAGTAGAAAGAGGAACATCTCATTTTATACTTGGATGGAGCTTTAGGATGAATGGTGTTGCGCAAGCTCTTGATCTCTCTCGGCTCCCCGAGCTACCTCGGTCCGAACACAAGAAAGTATCTAAACTTTTCACCGTGGGATTGCCCCTGATTTGCATAACTTTTTCATTAATACTAATATCTGGAGTAGCTTATTATCTAAGGAGAAAGTGGAAGTTTGCTGAAGTGCTGGAAGAATGGGAGCTTGCTTACGGACCTCACAGGTTCAAGTATCAAGATTTGTACATTGCCACGAATGGTCAAGGGTGACGATTTTCATTGGCCATTTTCGATGGAGTTTCTATTCACATCGAGTCCCCTCTCTATAATTTCCACCTTAGGGCGTAAGGGTTATCTAGATTTTAATGCATTTGACTGAAAATTACAGCACCCCTTGAGCGCGTTAGGGCGATGCAGAGCCGGTCATTTTAAAACATCTTGCAGATGACCAAAGACTGTAGACGGCTGTTTAATTAGTTGATTAACCAAGTCTTTGGACTCCTAAGATTCCTCTACATTTTAAAGGCAATCTTGCCAGGTCCCATCCAATCTTGAAAAAATCTCACCCCACAGCCCTGACTACTACCAGTTTATTGTTGCAGTTCTTCCCGGGCGTTGATTTTTCATTGAACTTAAGGGAAGATTCATTGAACTTCTATGACCAAACAAATTTTATGTGGTTGGTTTCCATTCCATGTCCACATCCTAACCTTGAAAAACATCTCCTCCTACAAGAGCTTCCACCCCTGGCCCTTGTTTTCTAGTCGTGTTTTATGGGTCCTAACTTTTAATTATTTTTTTAAAATAATAACTATAGAAATTATATATAATTTTTGAAATTATAGAGAATTATATGAAAGATTGCTAAATCACAAGAGAGTACAGTGTATTTGGCCTTTTTTTAATAAATAATAAGTATAATTATGTCATGCTTGTATAACGAAAAAAGAAAAATCAATGTGGTGGGTCCTGTTTCATGTGCACAGGCCAATTTTGTAAAAGTCTCCCTTTCTCGTGCCCACAGCCTGAGTCGCTGTTTTTCCAGCAATTCTTCATATGTGCTGATTTTTATTCTCTCTTTTTTTTTTTTTTTGAGAAAGTAATACCTAAACTCAAGAGGGAAAAAATGAATCCAAATATTCGACTATAATATCAAACACTAAGAAAAAATAGTTAAAGCTCAATCTAAAGTTCAAAGCATCAAAAAAAAAATTTACCAAAAAATTTTTATATTTTTCGTGAACTCATTTTTTATTTTTTTTATCTCATATATATTAAATCGTTACAGTAATTTTTTTTAAAAAAATCCTGAAAATAGCAAAACAACGAGAGAAGAAAAGAATCAAGTGAAGTTCAACAAGCATATATAGGAATGCTGTAGGGGTGCCTCCATCCCCGCCCCAATACAATCCTCTCCATTTTTTAAGCCCTCCATGCTCCACCACGGCATCACCATCCTTCTAGAATCCGTGACGTTCCTCCACCCCAATACCAAGTGTTCCTATCGTCACAATTATTTTTTCTTGTCCTCCTCTGCCCAATAGGTCTTCTCATAAGTCCCCCACGTGTCCGATACTGCCATAGTGGTTTGAATTTGTATGCTTTGTAGAAGCTGAAAACTATACATGACTTTCGGATTTTAATGGCTTCACTGATGGTTTTTTTTTTTTTCAATATATATAAACTAGCTAGTATGCTTGATCTGGAACTCTTTCAGATTACTATAGCAAAGTGACTTGTCAAATTGGAGCAACTGTTGGATATTTTTTTTTTTTTTTTTTTTTTTTTTTTTTTTTGTCGAAACGATAAGCAACTGTTGGATATTCAGGATTGGACTTTATTTTTTAGTTTAGCTACTGGGACGTGTAGATTATGGGAAAGGGTTTGGATTTCAAAATTATTGACATTTGATGACCATGTATTGCATTAGAGAAAAAAAAAAAAAAGTTACCTTCATGGGGTCCAGAAATTCTATTTTTGTTGTTATATCTTCGTAAGGATAACTCGGCATTTGCCCCTCCTGGGCAGCTCATCTGGCAGCGCACGCCTCCTTAGGAGCGCTTGCCAGGGGTTCGAGTCGTGCAGGGTTACCGTGCTTGGGGGGATGGGGCCTCTCCTCCCGGGCCGCTGGGGATTAGTCGGGCCGCCTTCGGGTCTTGACCCGGACACCCCAGTGTCGACAAAAAAAAAGGATAACTCGGCATTTAATTAAAAGTTGCTTTGGCTAGAAAATTATAGCTTTAGTTGCCAGACTTAAGTCAGTAGTTTTTAGGCACTCTACATGTACGTTTACTCAACCAAATACTAAAAAAAAAATAAAAAAAAATAAAAACAAATACTAGTGGACCATCAGCAAATGCAACTTTGCTTGTGATCCCAAAAAAAATGTCAGATTCTTTCTCCCTTACTTCCATTGTTTTGTAAAAATCTGCATTCTGTTTTGACGATTGTATTGCGTTCTTTCTTCTTCTGGCTATCTGGATTGAATTCCTGTGACGTCACAGTTGCAAAGCTTCTTGATCATGTTACGAACAATAACATGATTTTTTTTTTATTCATGTACCAACATTTTGTACTTAATTTCTTGCTTCTAATTTTGCCATATGTTTATCTTCTGTGATGTTCTCTGTTCATTTTTTTTTGGGGTGGGTAAAAGCTCCATTTGGCACATTTTGGAAAGATCGTTTGCCCCTACTTCGTTGAGTCATGAATCATTCCATCTCCTAATATTTCCCCTTACAGTTCTAGATTGCAAATCCTTTGGAAGTATTACAAAACTAACAAGAAAAAAAAAAGTAATAAGAACTTTTGGTTCTCAGGGCTCTTAGTTTTGCTTTGGAGTCACCAAATCTCCTCAGTTGTTATTAGTTGGCTTAAGGATTAATATCCTAAAATGTAGCATTATTATTGCACTAGATGCTCAGTAATGTTCTTTTCCAAAAAAAATATTGTTACAAGAACTTTTACTTTTTTTTTGTGTCCAGTTAGAATTTTTTAGATCTTACTTTTACTTGGCTTGCTTGATTTGATTTTGTTTTGTGGTTAAATGAGGTGGAGGAGGAGGAAGCCTGAAGCAAGTGATGGTGATTATGATGTACGCTTTGAGATTCAATTGTAATAAGACTCAAGTATTTGTGTTCGGCTTTAGGGTTTTTTTTTTAATACTTTTTGATATTGTAGTAATTATTTCAAAATTAAGTTTATGGTGATTTTGTAGTCTGAATCATTCATTTTTGTCATTCTTTTTTATGTTAACGTCTGTAAAAAGGTCAATTTTCTTTCTATGTATGGTTTAACATTAGATTTGGAAAGTTTGGTAGTAATATTAGACTATTAATCATGGTTTGCTAGTAGAAAGGGTCAAGTTTCTTTTAATTTATAGTTTGATCTTAGATTACACTACTTTAATTTAGAAATTTAGCACAATTGTATCATAATATTCTGCCATGTCTCACATTGTTCTGCCATATAAGAATGCTAAGTATATATTGATATCAAAATACCTCATTTTTACCAGCAATATAATCAATATTAAATTCAATAACATAAATTTTTTAAAAAAAAATACCCGCATTCAGCATAGGGCAATCCTACGTAGGCATGGCCACGGTTCCAGAACCGCCGGTTCTGGTTCTTCAAAGAGGTAGAACCAGAACCGCATAGTTCTGATTTCGGTTCCTTATGGTTCTGGTTCTGGTTCCGTATGGTACCCTACAATTTTATTTAATTCTTTATCCTTACCAATTTTAATACGAATATAACAATATATTTAAATTTTCAAATAGAATGTACAAAAATAAATACAAAATAAAGATCATATTTTAATTTTATTATTATTCTACAAAGTAAGAAGTAATAAATAGACAATACAAATTTTATGAAAAGTACATTACATTATCAAATTAAAAAATACATTACACTATCGAATGGTTGTCATGTGTTGACTTTCTTGAGTTGGACAATCATCAATGTTGAAGATTTCATTTGAAGAAATATTGCAAAAAATATTTTTTTGCTTGCTTGATTTTGAAGATGAGCTACTACCATCAAAATTTGCCATTTTTTGATAGCAAATAAGCAAAAAAAAAAAATTTGTAAGTAATAATTTAATACTTACAAATTATAATGATAGATAATAGATGAATAGAAATATTAAATAATTAGTAAAATATATAGAAAGTCCACAAAATTTAAACTTTCTTAAAACCTATTAAACACAACTAATTTTTTTGAATTATCTCACTACTTATATTAATTATTTTTAACGGTTCTGGAACCGGCGGTTCTGGTTCTGGTTCTATTTTTTAGAGAACCAGAACCGGAACCTTTATCCAAGGTTCTGCCACGGTTCTGGTTCCGGTTCCGGTCCGGTTCCCGGTTGCAAATGGAACCATGGCCATGCCTAGTCCTACGCTGGGCATAGCGTAGGATCCAAAGACTAGTAAAACTCAAAAGAATATTTCCACGTTCCATTAAATTATTATTTTAACTAAAATTAACCAAATGTACTGGGACATAATTGTGAATTTAGAGACCCCAAAAAAGCCCCTTAAAATTAAATATTATTCTTTTCTTCTTCTTTCGCTCTTCTATTGCCAAGACTGAAGGTAACACATTGCCATCAGCACACAATCAATAGCTTAGGCAAGTCTAACACTAGACATTGTTCATCCGCTGTAAATGCACCCAAAAGGAAATCAAAGACCATCTATGCTCCTAAGAATGCTTTGATCCCACATTTAAACCTCCCTATAAATCCATCAAAATCCCAACTAAAATAATTAATCTCAATGAAAACTACAATGATGGTACTAAAGTTGAAGAAATGTCAAAAGTGATGGAAAAAGGCTGTCATATAAATAAAATAAAATTGCTCTTACTGGTCCTGACTTTTAGAATTCATCAATTAATTTTTTTTAAACCGATTTCATGGATAATCGAAAATTTCAGCAGCCTCAAAATTGTACCCATGATTGTCATTTTTTCTATGGTAAAATGAAGCTGAAGACAGAAGGTTGTAGTCTCGTATATATTCAAGACCCTCAATGCCCTCAAACTTTAGTGGCAGCAACTTTTCATCTCTGCAAGCCGGATGTCAAGACACTCGCCCAAAAATCAAAATGCTTCACCTTAAAATCTCGATCTATACCAGTGAATGAGACACCACTTATGGCTTGGATTCCAGAACACTATAGGCTCCGTTTGGATTAGCTGTTTTTTAAGGTATTTTTTAAAAACTTTACTGTAGCTGTGTATATGAAAAGCTTTTATTGTAGATGTTTTTCGAATTGTTTTTAGAGGTATTTTTAAAATATATTTTTGAGTATTTTTATAATTTATAATTTTTTTGGGATTTTTTAAAAATATATACTGGCTCTATTTCTATATACTAATATTTATTTATTTATATATATATAATATTTTTTATTTCAATTTTGTTTTATAATATATAATTAATATATATTTATATATATAATATAAATATAATTTATAAATAAAATATGTATATTAATATATATTTAATATACATATATAAATAAATATAAATTTATAAATTTATATTTATAAATTTATATAAATATATAAAAATAAATATATGAATATTTATATATATTTATAAGGGATAATTGCAGAAACCTCCCCTGACTTTTATAGTAATAGCATTGACCTCCCCTATCAATTTTGAAATAGCATTTACCTCCCCTAAAAAAAGTTAAAGACAATTTAATGGGCAAAAGTGGGTCAATTTACTAAAGTACCCCAACATGATTTAATTTTACCAGATGAATGTGACGAGTACTTTCATCAAACCCAACAAAACGTTTGTTAATAAAAATTGCACTAAATTAACTATTTCTGCATAGTTTAACTAATTAACTAATTAACTAATTAACTAAATAACTAATAATATAATTAATTAATTAACTAATTATCTAAATAGATAATTAACTAATTAACTTTAGATGCTTAACTAATTAACTAATTAACTAAATAACTAATTATCTAATTAATTAATTAACTAATTATCTAATTATCTAAATAGATAATTAACTAATTAACTTCAGATGCTTAACTAATTAACTAATTATGTAATTACCTAATTAACTAATTAACTAACTAACTAAAGTTGCAGTCTCCGTCCAGCTTTGATTCAGAGTTTAGTTAGTGTGTGAGACTAGTTGTAGAGGCAAGAACAGGGCGCCAATTGCTGAGGAAGATGGCGCCATGAATTGGCGCCAATTTGTGACAAATTGCTCTTGAGGTGACAAGCTGCCTACTTGCAGCATTAGAGAATGTGCCTTGCTGATAAAATTCTGACCATTGAGAGAAGGAAACAAAAGAGAAGAAATTTGGAACTCTGGCTTAGTTCATGGGAGGCTGATTGTCCGTGAGAGATAAACAGCATATGTGACCGTTAGCTAGGAACCAATTCTAAGCATCAACTGGAGTTAATTTGCAAGAACTGAAGTGGAGTAGGTAAATAATTTCTGCAGTTGTCACTTGAAGGCACAAAATTTGCACTTTAGCTCTTGTATGATCATGTTTTTGAATCCTGATTGCAGTGAATGCATGTTTGTTGTTCCATCATGAGTTGAATGTGTTAGTAATGATCAGAAACGAATGTGATGTTATTGTCAGTAATGATCAATGCCAAATGTGATGATATTGTAGCTGGTTTCAGACGAGCTGCTGTACTATGCTTGGTTGCTCTGCTATTCATGTTGTTTTAGACATGTTTATCAATGGATGTTTTGATCATGATGTATTTTTTTATCTTTTAAGACTTGTATAAACATGGTATATGCTTCAATAGTCTTGAGTTCATGACTGGTCATCAGTGTAAACATAAGTCTCTAAACTAGATACAGTTGTCTGCTATTTGCTACTTACATTGCTCAATAACTGTCACTTTTGATTCCTAGGATGGCTCTTTTTCCTGCTTATGATATAGTTGTTCACTATGAGGAGAAACAAGTGAGAATTCCAAATGTCGATCCAATTGATTACTTCTACATTAATTTGCTATTTGATGTTGCTGAGAAGGTGTTCAGTGAAGTCCCTGGGCATCTGAATAAGTTAATACACATGAGGTGCCAGATTCCTAAGACAGATCGTATGTTTGATATTACAGATTATGATAATGTACGTGAAATGTTCTCAATGCATAAGTCTGGAAGAATGATTAATGTGCATGTGCTGGATATGGATGTTATTCCATCTCAAAAAGCTAATCAGATGAATGAAAATGGTCATAACACTGATTTGAACTTAGGAGAAAAAGGAAAGGACAAGGTATCTGTTGTTGCCATTGATGATTCTGAGGATGAATATAGTGATTCTAGCTCTGATTCAAGCTGGTTGCACAGCATGGATAGTGACAATGAGAAAGATTTAGATGTTGATAGTGATAGTGGTGAATCTGACATGTCATTTTCTGATTTTGATGACAATGAGGAGGGTGATTTAGTTCCTGATTCTGAAAATGAAGAAGAAACTGACCCTGTTCAGCAAGCTTTGAAATCAAAACTTTGGACGTACAACCCAAAAGCAGAGATAGAGCTTAAGAAAGGTCTACCGTTTACTAATGTCGATGTATTTAGAGCAACTTTAAAGGACTATGTAATTCAGAAAGAATTTCCAATTATGAGACTGAAGAATGAGAAGAGCAAAGTCACTGCTGTCTGTGGTGTTGAAGGGTGCAAATGGAGAATCCATGCATCACCAGTTGTATATTCCATGCCCTTTATGATTAAGACTTATCAAGGTGAACACACATGTGTGATGGACAAGAAAAACACAGAAGCTACAGCTGACTGGATTGCCAAGAAACTAGTTCCAGTCATGAGAATTCACCCTAACATGTCCACCAAAGGGGTAGAAGCAGAGATGATTAAATATGGTGTGCATCCAAGCAAATGGCAGACGTATAAAGCACTAACTAATGCAAGAAATGAGATTGAAGGCAATCATATTGAATCGTACACCAAATTGCCAAAGTATTTAGAGCTCATCAGGAAATACAACCCACAAAGTATCTGCAAAATACATTATGATAGGCCTACTCTTCTTGTTGAGCCCAGATTTCTCAGAATGTTTATTAGTTTCAAAGCTCAAAGAAGTGGATTTGTTGAAGGCTGTAGACCTTTTGTTGGTTTTGATGGATGTTTTTTAAAAGGTCCATTTGGTGGTGTGCTTCTCACAGCAGTCACATTAGATGCTAACAATAGCATTTTTCCTATTGCATTTGCTGTGGCTGAATCTGAAAATAAAGAAACCTGGAGTTAGTTTTTTCATTACTTTGAGGAGTTTTTGGGGCCATTTACTTCAGAAAATGGTCCTCATGGTCCTCTAACCTTCATGAGTGACAGGCAAAAGGTGAGCTTCACAACAGTTATGCACATAATTCTAATTCTGTTATGCATCCAGATTCTGGAATAGTTATGTACTTAATTCTGATTATGTTAGGCATTAATGTAACTTGTTTGCATGTTTTGGTGTTCATTTCAGGGCATGAATATAGCTTATGAAGAGAAAGTGCCTGTTGCTAGTGGAAGACATTGCTGTAGGCGTATCTGCAGTAATTTTAAAGCTCAATTTCTTGGTATTCTGCTTAGTAACTTGTTCTAGAGAGCAGCAAAAAGCTTTAATGTTGCAGGACATAATGAAGCCATGGCTAGCATAAAGGAGTTAAACGTAGAAGCATGGAAATACTTGGACAAAATTTCCAAAACAACATGGTGCAGATATACCTTCAATACTGGACTAAAATGTGATCATGTCACAAATAACTGCACTGAGTCCTTCAATGCATGGATAGGTGAGCTAAGAGGGAAGCCTATCTTGACACTTGTTGATGGGCTGAGGAAGAAGTTCATGAAGAAAATGCATAAGCGATATCAGAAAGGGTGCATGCTCACCACTGCCATCACACCAAAGATGCTTGGTAAACTACAAAAAATAGGACAAACATCAAGACAATGTGAACTCACTATGGCTTCTACTGACGTATTTGAAGTGGAGGATATGAACAGGTCCTACATAGTCAATTTATCAGCTAAAAGTTGTGATTGTGGAGCATTTCAAATTTCAGGCCTTCTTTGTAAATATGCTGCACTAGGGATTATCTACAAGAGAGAAAAGCTGGAATCCTACTGTGAGCATTGGTTCTCAAGAGATAAGTACTTAAAGACATATTCAAGTATGATTCATCCAATTCCTGATGAGAAAATGTGGCCACCTATGCCACATGTTACACCTGCAACAGTCCTGCCTCCTCCATTGAGGAGAGCTCCAGGTAGACCAAAGACTAAAAGGAGAAGGGAACATGATGAAGGGCAATCTGCATCACAACCAAAAAGATTGAGCAGGTTCAAGTGTAGAAACCGTGGCTCTTTTGGTCACAACAAGAGGTCATGCCAAGGAGCACCTGTCCAGAATAAGAAGAATGGCAACAGAACTCCTGCCCAGCAGGTGTCATATGTGCTGAATTTGCTACTGAATGTCATTATTTTATATCAATTCATTACTTATAGTTACCTTATTGCTTAATAATAGAGCTATAGAAAAGGCAAACCAGGAAGAGAGACTGCAAACACAGGCCTGTCAGGAGCAATTCTTTGGGTAAGATTTTTTTTCCCTCTTCTTCTAATTGTAACATTTATAGCACAAGCCTTGTCGAAGCTAATACTACTTGTCAATGTTTACTGCTAGGATCATGTCTCTGGCAATGTTCCAATTGTACACTCAAGCCAAGGCAACAATCCTTCTCCTTCAATTCAACCTGCAACTGTGAATGTGCATGTACAGATTCAGAGCACAGCAACCACTTCAAAGAAAAATGTGCAATCGAATGAGTGCATTTTATGATATGCTTCAATAAAATGCTTGAGTGTAATGTTCAACACGTGTGATTGTTCAGAGAGGAAGGCCTTTAAGCAATACTTTCTCATCTGCTAGAGGGAGCAGCAAGAGAGACAACTCAAATACTGCTCAGATCACTCAAATTGTTGAACAAGCTGGTCATCAACAAATTGCTACATTTCAAGTTGCTACACCTGCATCTGAATCCATCAATGCAGCTACAACACTGCAGTCAACAAATGTTAGCAACGATAGCAGTTTCAGTATGCAATTCTGATGCATACTCTATAGTTTTGGCAAGTGAATGCTTACTGCTAAAAGTATCAACTCAGTAGTATGCCATTAATTAGGTACATAACAGAATATTTTGTACTCTACTGTGGCAGATTTATATGTTTCTGCCTCTCACGACATTGCAATCCTCACGATCTGTTCTAAGTGATTTAATGGTTCAGATGGTGTTTTGAACCTTTTGTGGATTGCTCAGTCATGCTCTCCTATTAATGGAATGTTGTGTTTCACTTTTGTAGTAATTCAATTACTGAATTCTGATCAGACTTGTTGTATTAATGCATTAATCTTGTAATGCAAGTATGCTTCTGTGACTGTTTTGTTTTGTATTGTTGGTAACAAGTGATTTTGTACTGATTACAGTAGATATAAATAGAACTCTAGCTTGCATTTATATTGTAAACTACAAATGCTGCTGCATACATGATGAAAGGAACTTGTTCCTCTCCTATGTCTTACATATAAATTCGAATTGCAGCTACATCTACTTCATCACTAATGTACATTTCTGGATAGCATCAGCCTATTGACTTCACAATATGGATGAAAACATAAACAGCAACAAGTATGAGATTGACAATGAAAAGTATAGCCGCTGCATTTGTCAGAACAGTTGGCATTTCCCTTCTAACAGCCATAAACTTTTATTGCTGTTGGTGCGATTGTAGCACTGAATTGGTGTCATAATTTCTACTGTTAACCTCTTCTTCTTCAGGACCCTCATACCACTGGAAGTACTTGCATTTTGCACAAAAAAAGTATAACTTGTTGGGGTTGTTTTCAGACTCAGAAATCTTCAATGTTGCCTTTCGATTGCACCGGTAATATTTGTTTTGTATTGTGAAGGATGTTGGAGAGTTCCATGATGCTCTCCTGTGGCTGGAAGAAGCCATTCTCTAGGGACTGCAATATGACTTGAAGCTGCCAAACTGAGTATCAAGCAAGCTGTGTTTTGAGTTGAAAAATTGCTGCTGCATACATGAGTCCAGATTCTGGTATTCATGGAAGTACTGACCATCGTTTATAAGCTAGTGCAAGGAGTTACATCAATTAGCCGTTAAGTAGCCGTTGGTTTCTCAGACTGAAGAAGTTGTTGCAGGTCATCATCTGGAAGCATGTTGTTGCATTTATATCCCCTGAACTTCCTTGATGCTTAATGAAAAAGCCCCTCCCTTGTTAATACTACTTGTCAAACAACATCAGGGTAATTTTGGAAGAAAATTCTTAGCTCACTTGTACAGCTAATTTTTTAATGGGAATTGAAGCTGCCTGGACTGATTCTGCAACTTAATGTTCTTGTTCAGGGGTGCTATATGCCATTTCTGAACTTAAAGGGGAGCTCAGTGCAACTGTCAGTAGTTTCAAGGGAGGTTTCTACAATTTTCCCTATTTATAAATATATATTTATATATTTATATTTATATAAATTTATAAATATTTATAAATATATATTTATATAAATTAATAAATTTATATATGTAAATATATATATATTTATATGTATAAATTTATATATGTAAATATTTATAAATTTATATAAATATATAAATATATTTATATTTATATAAATATATATAATATATCTTAAACAAAATCTAATATTTATATATGAATATATATTTATTTCAATTGATATAATATATATAATATACATAATTGAAATATACATATTAATATACATATTATAAAAAAATTGAAATAAAAATTATTATATATATAAATATATATATATTAATATATATATAATATAAAATGAAATTGAAATCGAAAAATCTGATTTCTATTTCCGATTTCAAAAACTCCATTACCAAATTCGAACCAAATTTGCATAATTTGAAATCGAAAATTCGAAATTTTAATGTATATTTGAAATTGTTTTTGATATATTGTTTAGATATGGTGTTTTTGGAGTTGTTTTTGTTTGTGTATTACTGTAACATTGTAGATGAAAAAATTATTTTTCAAAAAATGCTGAATTCATACGGAGCCATAAATTTTTTGTAATATTTTGAACATTAAAAATTGAGTTAAAAAGATGGGAGAGTTAGATTTTTGAGTGGATTGGTAAGGAGTAGAACAGGAGAAGGGATCTTTCCTTGTAAGTTGAGATGAAGAAGGATCAAGTCCAGGAAGAAGAAGATAAGGAATAAAAAAAAAATGAATGAAAAAGAAGATAAGGTAAAAGAATCGGATTAAGAGGCTTTCTTTTGTCTCATGAATTTACATTTTTGTCCCCATGAAATTTTGTTTATTTTAGTTACACTTGTAAGTTAATGGAATATGCCAATTACTCTGTTAGTGTTGGGAATGCCATCAAAATGGCATTTAAACGGATAACAATTTATAATTTAAGAAGCAAAGTGCCAATTACTCTGGTAATATTGGGAGTTCGACCTGTCTAACATATAAGTGAAATTTATGAGTAAAATGTTCAACCTACTCAAATTCAATTCAAGTTATGTTCAATAAAAATTTATTTGAGTTCAACTCAAGAAGTAAATTGAACAAAATTTCGATCTCTTCAAAATAGTTAAAATATCTTGAATGCTAGGGCATTCAACTTTTTTAAAATTTGTTTACGCTCCTAATTGTTTTGCATTAGTTCCCTTTTCTGTCCCTAAAGCTTCACTGGGGGAAATAAGAAAAGACACATGGGGTCAAAGTGTTGTAGTAAATCTCTGAGCGTTCTCCTACGTCTAACGTATGCACGCTCTTTGAAACATCGTTTCGTGAATGTCATGTCAAACTTTTTCATAACTCTTTGAAACCTATGTTTTCAGGACCGGATCGAATATCGACTTGGTCAAGCTCAGGGGTCAGGAATCAATGGATTCAACCGAATTCGATAAGAGTTGAATCGGATGATGTCATAAATAAAAATTATTTAAAAATTAAAATATTATATATAAAATACCTAATAACATGTTAATATTAATAAAGGTATATTCATATATATATTTGATGTTTCAAATATATTTAACAAGAAAATACAAAGAAATTAGAACAATCAAGTAGCAATTTATATTATTTAATGAGCATTAACAAGTTTAGAATTAAAATTATGGATTTAATTAAAAAATAACACCAAACTTTAAGACAATATTGATAAAGTATGAAATATTTGAGGTATATTAATAATTTTTAACAATCTAGGGGTCAAAACATAATATTAAAAAAGTTTGATTTTTTTTTTAAATGCTTGATTGAACCGGAAAATCCGGTTTTTTTCTGGTCAAACCCGATTTTTGACCGAATTTTTACTTACCCAATTTTTTAGCATAACTCGGACCGGATATTTGATCGGTTCCCGATTTTACCGGTCAAACTGGTCAGTCCGGTCCGAGTTTTAAAACACAGTTTGAAACATGACACTCCCGGTCCTAGACAGTCATGTTGCACCTCTCAGTTTTATAGAATTTTCAGAATAGCCTATAAAAGTAGTTTTTCTATTGTTGACTCATTTTTTGGGCTAATTC